GGGGGCGGGGGAGGGGGCGGGGCTACCCGGATGGACGCCGTCACGTCGCCGTGTGAATGATCAATCAAATCTGAATTGGAAATGTTCAGACTGCAGCTTCACCGGATGTTTCTGACTGCATTAGCAGGCAGATTCAGTTCATATGCCATCCTTGGTTCTGCTTCCTTCCGCACCGAGTGTAGAAGAGTCTAGGTCAGGTGCAGATCCATCAAGGACTGGTGCTCTCAGCTGTTTTTTGACGAAAGAAACCAAACTTTTTCTTTTTTGTTTTTTGAAAGAAAGAAAGAAAGAAACTGAACTTTGAAGAGTTCTTGGGCCTCCATGCACTACGTTTAAAACTAGAAAAGGTTGGAGCGTGCTTCAAGAGTTGTCAGACTCTTGAAATGCCCAATAGCGCCGTCATCGCTGCACGTACTGTACACACCCCCACTCTTGACTGCCAGGCAGCGCTTCCAGACAGCGCCAAATTGAATCTGGTTTGTCCTTCACAAAAAAAAAATAAAAAAATCTGGTTCGTCCACCGAGAGTCCGAGACTGCTGACCAACTCTTGAAAAAGCAGAGCTCATGAACAGCGACCACCCTTGAAAAAGAACGCCTTGCAGGCAGGCACTCCAGAAGCTTCAAGCATTTCAAGGAGTCTTCTCAAACCTCTTGAAAAAAAATCAAGAGCACGTTTCTCAGTTTCTGTAGTTAGTGCAGCGATGACTCACTCTCGAAGTATGTGAGTCTAACAGCTCTTGCATCCGTTTTCGGCGTCCTGCGGCAAGAGTTGATGCAGCGATGCCGCACTCTTGAAACTTCAAGTTTCAAGCGTAATGCAGGGAGGCCACTAGTCTTCCCTTTCTCCTTCCGCTGGCTTCCAGACTTGGATGCTACTCCTTTGCGAAGTGTTTTTTTTTTTCTTTTTCTTTTTCTTTTTCTTTTTTTTTTTTTGGCAATTGGGCCATGCTAATTGTATCGTTCGAATTTTAACGGATGTCCCGAAGGACGAACTGTTTTTTTTTTTCATCGTCTTCTGCCATTGCTTCCTCTGCGTCTGCTGCGATCAAGTTCCGTTTTTTTTTCATCGTCTTCTGCCGTTGGCCTGTTGCTACCTTTCGAGAGTAGCCCCTGAAGACGCTGCACTGGCGGCAGCAGAAACGCGTCGGGCGTTTTGCCAGGATACTGGAGTAGGACGCACCTTTCGAGAGTAGCCCCTGAAGACGCTGCACTGGCGGCAGCAGAAACGCGTCGGGCGTTCTGCCAGGGCACTGGAGTAGGACGCTGCTTCAGGTATCAAGATGAGCTTCACGATTATATCCGAATGTCACACTCATTCCTAACTTTGGGAGGGATTTTTTTCACTTCTTGCTTTGTCCGGTTGCATGGCTAAGTTTTCGAGTCTATGGTGGTCGAATGCATGTTTGGTTTCTTCGTGTCGATGTCAATTGTGGAGTGAATGTCGTAGGTACGCATTGAATGAATACATCTGTTAGTGAATTGGGTGGGATTTTACTCTTCGCGTCTGTACCGATTGTGCGGTGGTTAAAGCGCGGATGGATTGAGTGTGTATGAGACTAGGACACACTTAAACGAATGGAGTAGAGTGTATGCATCCGTATTTTTTGAACCGAGATACATAGTTCAAGTCATTGTACTAACGAATCTGGTTTCTAGATCCAATACACTGCCCAGTGCAGCTTGCACCCTGTCTATCCACTATGGCAGGCAGCGATGCCCACAAGGGACTTGAGCTCACACTGAAGGTCAAGGAGAGTGATCGTATTGTGGGTGGAGATGTGGTTGATGTGCACCCTCCCCAGCCATGGGTTGCTAGTATTGATGGTAAATATACAGTTCAAGTTTGGAATTATGAAGATGGGCAGCAAGTGACCTCCCAGCATTCTCCTTTTGACTGGCACGTCGAGGTAGCAAAGTTCCTAGGGGACAACGATTCTCTACTGTTAGTCCAAGCAAACGAGGCTTGGGTTCCCCCAGGAGTTCTGGTCCAAAATTCTTTTATCGAGCCCCCAACAGGGCCAACAAAACGGAGACGGGATCTGTTTGTCTATAAGATCGTGCAAACTTTAGATCTGGAATTGAAGGAAGAAAAAAGATTCACAGACAAGGAGGAATTACTTTATGCAAAATTTTCTGTGCATCCCAAGGCCCGGTGTATATTATCTGTTGGGAAAGCCCGTTTTTTTTCAAACAATGACATATTAAGCTTTTGGGATGTAGACAATGATTTGCACAGAAAGAGAGATTTGCCAGGATATAGTATAACCGTGACACTCTTCCATCCTGTTGAGGCACACATTTTTCTTGCTGGGCACTCAAACGGGACAGTCAGCATCTGGGATACCAACACCATGGCAGTTCTTCAAACATTCAAGGAGAGTGAATCTTTTTCCGGAGCGGGAGGAGTTTCTTCTATGCGATTCTGCGCGAGACCCGAGAGGTCACTTCTCATCTCGGGTCATGCATATGGCACACTAAAGGTCTGGGACTACCAGAGGAAAGAATGTGTGGCCACTCTTGATGTGCATGAGCAAGACGTAGTGCAGGCTTTCTTCCATCCACAGTTGCCGTACATATTGAGCGCATCGGACGATGGAACAATCATGGTATGGAGTGATTCAAATTATCAGCCACAGTATACGCTTGCCAGTGGCTTGAATGGATTGTCCTGCGGGGTTCTCTGTAGGAATGACAGTATGCTTGTGCTTTCCTGTAAGGAAGCAGTGCGTTTCATTACCATAGAACATGACGATCCCAAATCCGACTTTGAGAAGAGAGAAAGAATGGAAGAGGGAGATGCGAGGGAGGAATCGGACAAAAGACTCTGGTTTGAGAAAACGGATGCATGCAACATGAAGAGCCTCATATCAGAGCTGATTTCCGTGAGGGCAAAGAGAGGGGCACTGGAGGAGGGACTTGAGAAATGGAGGGAAACACATGCACAAAGTATAAACGAGCTTGAGACTGAGTTAACCAATGTAAGGATGGAGAGGCCGGCATTGGGAGAGAGATTGCAATATGAGAGTGAGGTGGAAAAAGGAGAATACTCACAGAGGGTGAAACAACTGGAAGGTGGAATAGGCAATCTGTTAGTGGACAGGGAGGCACTCAAAGAGAGATTTAAGGAATCCAAGGCAAGGGTTCCCGATTTGGAATCGCGGTTGAGTATTGTGGGCGGTGCACATCAGACATTGGAAACTGTGAGGGGGCAGAGGAGGGCACTCGAAGAGGGATTTAAGAAAGAGAGGCAAACAATTGCAACAAGGGTAAGGGAGCTTGAGACTGAGCTAAGCAATATAAGGATGGAGAAGCAGGCCGTAGGAGAGAGATTTGAAACATTTTGATCAGAGCATGAAAGAGAAAAACTCATGCACTTAGAGAGAGTCAGTGAGTTGGACAGTCAAATAACTAATCTGTTGACGGAAAGGGAGGAACTCAAAGAAAGAATGGAGAGATGAAAGGTTAGGATTCAAGAACTGGAATGCAGGCTGGAGATGGAAGGCGGCGTAGGAGAGGGATCGGAAAGGTTTGATGGAGTGCCCAGCGTGGTTCCAAAAGTGGACTCACATCCATTCAGAGAGTTTTCGCTGGATGAATTGAATACCACCACAAATGACTTTCATGATGACTGCAAAGTCGAACATCGACATTACGGATGTGTTTACGCGGGAAAGATCACACCCGTCGTGGTAAAGAGATTCGAGGGCGGAAACAACATGACGCGGGACAAGCATGTTCAATTGACAAGGGATTTTGTCGACCTGTTGAAGTCTCTTGAACATCCACACGTGCAGAAGATGCTAGGAGTGTGCTATAGAGGAAATTGTCTCGTCTATGAGCACATGGCCAATGGAAATGTGAAAGAGTGGATTTCCTCCACTCACGGGTCACGAAGGGGCTTCTTGCCGTGGTACATCCGCCTGCAGATTATGGCCCAGGTTGCCCAAGCCTTGGCCTTCCTTCACTCCAGCAAGTCACTAGGAGGTGGTCCTATCATCCATCGTGCCATCAAGCCTGAAAACGTCCTTTTGGGCACTAGCAACTTTGTGGCAAAACTCGCAGAGGTTGATGCGGTGTTGATTGCCGCAGAGGTAAAGGATGATGACGATGTGGAACCTGGAATGCAAATGCCTCGTCGAGTTGAATCAGTTGACGCTCAGTACGTGGCTCAAGAATTCTTGCGCACTGGAGTCTTCACTCAGCAAACTGATATTTACGCCTTTGGCATCACCATCCTTGAGATCCTCTCCGGAAAGTTTGCGGATGCATTTGGAATTATGGAAGATGCAGTGGAAGATCCGGCCATCTTTACAAATGCCCTGGACCCAAATGCAGGAAGTTGGGACGTGGATCTGGCCATGGAAGCAGCGCAAGTGGGTCTGAGATGTGCAAATCCAAACAGACGCCTTCGGCCGAGCATGCTGACAGGTGAAGGTGCCATTCTGCCTGCGCTGGAGAGTATTGCTCAGAAAGTGCAACTTGCTGACTCAATAGAGGATGTGGAAAGGAGGAGGGGATAATAGGTAGAAAGAGCCCACGCCAAAACCTTTCCGGTTTTGAGCGCCCGAAACTCGGTCGTTTGGTACTACCGACCCAAACCGTTTTCAGCCTGGGTGAAAGGCGCCTTCGTGCCGTGGCCAGTCACATTGTCGATATCGATGTGGCTATGGATTGGGGATTTAGTGGTGTAATGTTAAGAGGTTCAGGGGTTTCCTGGGATTTGCGAAAAGCAGCACCCTACGATGTTTATGACAAAGTAGAATTTGATGTACCCGTAGGTACACGAGGAGATTGTTATGATCGTTATTGTGTCCGCATTGAAGAAATGCGACAAAGTCTTCGAATCATTGTCCAGTGCTTGATGGGGAGGTAAAGCTTGACAATGGCATTTGCATGTTGTCAACTTGCAACTTACTCAGACTCCTCTAAGTTCGATGCAATTTGGGAGAGGAATGTCCGGTTAAATCTCAAATGAAATGGAGGAGATGTCATGTATCTCAGTGCGTCCTCGGGCCCAGAGGACGAATCCTCGGGAAAATTTTGGTTTTTTGGAGGCTTCTTTCGACCTGTCCTCGGGGAATGGTTCCAAGGATGAATCCTCGGGGCCTTTCCGCGGCCAGTTTCATACCAATATACGCACTCGCGGAGAAATGTTCGTGTTCCCGTTTGGGATGTCCGCTCAAGAGGCATATTGGTCAACAGGCCAAGGGCGCAAATACGTGGGGGCCGCAAAAAGAAAAGAAATAAAAAGGCGGGAATGTCCCCTTCCGAAATTCACAATTTGAGTGATGACGGCTAGATGGAGCACAGGCTATCCAACCGGAGCTACGGGGTAATAGCGGATAGCTTGTTTTCCTCGCCTTTTAATCTACGTGGGAGCGTGGTCGGCCCTTCCAGTGACGACGCCGACGAACAGTGTGTAGTGTTTCGTCGTGAGCTCGGACTCCTTCGCTGAGGGTGCGTGGCACCTTGGAGCGCAAGCTTCAGTGGGTGAAGTCCAGCGTTGTGTCATCGTCCTTCGTAGTCGCTTTGAAGACGCATAGAGTGTGCCTGATGTGGCGTGTTAACATGGGTGCTGAGAAAGAGTGTGCACGGCGAGGAGGCAGGGTTGCTGGTGATGGTCACCATGTCTTTCCGAAGTTTGTCAACAATGGAGGGCGGTGGGGCAGATGGGTGTGTTGTGCTGACGTACTCGCTGGCCGTCGTCGTCCTCTGTGACATAGAGAGAGTGTCCGCTGTGACGTAGAGAGAGCGTCCACTGTGACATAGACTCGTCATAGAGAGAGCGTCCGGGCACATGAAGGCAAAGATGGCAGTGGCGGCGGCGCTGGCCGTCGTCATTTGCTGTCACGTAGAGAGAGCATCCGGGCGTATGAAGACGAGGTTTTTGAGGCGCAGGCAAATCATCCCGCAAATGCTTCTCATACAAAGAGTGCTTGACGCCCCTGACTGCATAGCGACCTTGGAGGCCATCGTCCAACTGTGCACGGCGCTGGGTTCCGATGTGCTCCCTCCCGCGACACCAAGATGGTGGATGAAACGGAGAACGGGAGGGACGTGGAATTATCTGTGGGTGTGCGATGACGCCATGGATGAATACTTCTGAGATGCCTTGCTGTTTCCTCCCAGGAAGTCGCCCCAGAAAACAGCAGTCGAACACGACAACCACGGCGAGCGGCACGGCGATGAGTAGCAGCAGCGGCAGACTGCTGTGGAGGTCAGCCATGAATGATCGGGGACAAGGACACTCTGCAGGCACGTCTCTTGTCGTATGTGCAGAGAGGGGCGGCGCACGGCAGTGCAAAACACTCCAAGGAGATCACCGTCAGCGAGCGGCTGCCAGCACACCTAAAACTTCCATATTCCCGACCGTTGGAGACCCCACCAGAACGCGACGGACCCACAAAACAGCCGGCTGCAATCGACGACGCGCCCCGCCGCCAACAGTAAACGTCGGAGGCGTTGGAGGATGTCCACGACGTTGAAGGCCGACGATGTCCGTCGCTTGCCCTCTGGACCACGACTGGACCACCTTCGGCCTCCAAATTGCTTCTATGCTGCATGCCGACACCCCGAGAATTGCAGATCCTCGGACTCCAAGTGACCTCGCGAGGTCCCTTGGAGCCTAGGACGATTTGGCTGGGAAATCCTCGTGGCCAGAGGATGTGCCCTCGGAGTGTTTTCACATTTGCATTTCGAATTTCATCTCAGAGGACAGGAGTAACGACGACGAAATCCTTGGAGTCGCATCCCCCAGGAATGTCTAACGACGCCCTCAGTCTCGGTACTTTTCATTTTGGACTTTCATTCCCATCTTCTTCTTCAATCTTTGAATGATGCCTTCCCTCAGTCTGCTCCATGTTCTGTGGTATTTGAATTCTGTCTGCCCGTTTGTATGGTGTATAACTTTGCAGAGCAGTGATGAGAGGGTGAGAGGGTGATTCGGTGCCAGCAAGGAATTGACATGCGTTGCTCAAACTGAATTCATTTCACTATTAACATTCTCGTTTGCCTCTATTTCCTCCTGCAATCTTTGTTTTGGCCTTTGCTCACGCTCTTGACTCTTAGGTTCATGACCATTCATCATAAAATGTCTACGATTGTCTCTCGAGGATCGTAAAGTCAATCACTGGTGTTGCCTGGTGACTATCTGGTGATTGCCAGCAAGCAGTAAGCTGGCAGAAATCTTGGATGTGAAGGCTGTTCATGTGCAATTCGTGATGTAGTTGTGTTTTTCCCATTGAGAAGAGTCACAGGGTCCATCACAATGCAGGAGGTCCCCTTGCTGCTCGGCGCTCGCAGAAATCCATCCTGTTGAGCTTCCCCCTTATTAGGGAAGAAAAAGAACCTCGGCAAAACAAGTGCACTGTGCAGTGAATGTTTCCTAATTCAGGTCTGCAATGACCCACACAGCTATAAATTGAGAAATCTGCATTTTCTGAAAAACGTTTCTTTGCTTGATCTGTTTGTTGAGATTTCCTGGTCCGAGTCTATTGTGCTGTTTTCCAACTTTTCCTTCTATCATCGTATCAGGCTATCAGCTTTCATCAAAGCTCTCATGTCATTGAGCTGATTGCACTCAGGGGTCTTTCTCTCCTCTCTTGTCTTTTTGTCTTCTCTGTTCTGTTCTTTTCTTAATGAGATTTCGGTTTGAGTGTGTCTCACACTTGGGATGAGTCCGATGAGTTAATTTCACCTGCTGATGATATCAGTACGATGTGTGCTTGCCTGCATCTAAGTCTGTCTTCCGGTGCCTACTCTGTTTTCCGTGTTGTGTTTCTATGCCTCGCACAGGGTCGGAGTAGAAAATTGCTGTTTCAGGAGCAGACCTGAAATTTGGCTACAGAAGGACTTACCGGAAGTTTTAGAAGGCAAGGGACAGGAGTAGAATTCGTCAGGAAACCAGTAGGGACAGAAGGAAACCGGTAAGGGACAGGAGTAGAATTCCTCAGGGAACCAGTAGAGTTTTCCAGCAACTCAGGTACGCTCAGGATGGTCCTGTACGTTGTACCCTCCGGTAGGGCTGGCCCTGCTGGGTTACATAAGCTGCCTTTGCCCAAAAGGGAAAAAAGAAAGGACCATTTATTGATTCATGCAGAGAGGTAGGTGCAGTGATCCTTTAGAAAGAGTCTTGAGGAACGTGGAGTGAAAATGAGGGGCCTCCCGGATCATGCATCTGGTCCAAAATCCGTAGTCCAGTAGAAAGAGGCCTGTAGATGTGGGCTGATCCGTCAAGGCACCGGGGACCCATAGGGCAAAACTTGGGGCTGGTACTAGCCTGGTAGTACCCAGCCCGAAGGCTTTGGACATAAACAGCCCAATAGGTTTATGGGTGGGCAACGCTGGGCGTGTTCTACCTATTAATCTCATTTGTAGGCACCATGAGAACAATTCAGATGCGCACCTAAGTACCAGAGTTGGGACTGTAGTTTGAAATTGCAATAAAAGTGCCCAAATTCACAGCTGATAGAAATTTAGGAAAAAAAACAGGTCGTGAGAAAGAGCATGAAGATACAGCTACAAGTTAACAAAATTAAACAAAGAGTAAGAAAGTGCATGACATGCTCAGTGAAAGACAAGTGGGACAGAGAAAATAGATGATGAATGCCATGAGGAGAAACACGAGCTGAATTTGCAGTGAAAAATGTCATGTCGTAATTAAGGCCCGTGACATGCTATACTGTCCCATGACAAAGGTCCCTCCCATACCTTTATGTGTGTCATCCCTTACTTGCGCAGGGGCCAGGGCCGCCAGGCTAATCTTCTCGTCTCTATATGGTTCCAATTCTACCATACGTCCCGAAGGACACATGAGCTGTCTTCCACCATAATGAACCATGGACACAATGACACATGTTGTTTTCTTTATGGGGAAACTACCCGGGAGTCACAGTAATGAGTTATAATTGCAGTGCGGGCCAGGATACAGTTTCGAATTGCAGTTTGGGCAATGTATACAACCCAGCTTTCTGGCCAGGTGTAGGGTGCCCAGAGGGCAATTGCAAACTGTATTGTGCCCCATAGTGCAATTATAACTCGTTTCTGTGACTCTACTGAAGTTACCCCTAGTAAATTTTCTGGAAGACATGACATTGCTACTGTGCCATCCTTGTGAATGTTGGTGAAGAACTACATTGGCGCTTTCCATCTTTGAACGTCCTCAAATAGGAACTAACGTTCGCGTTGCCACCTGTACGTTGCCACCTGTACGCACCGTCTTACAACTTGAAGTACGGATTCGTACTCCTGTACTCGTACGCTAGGTGCCCCGTACGAGTCCTTTTTTTTTTTTTAATCCGATATATTTAGGCCAAATAAGAATTAAAAATCGCCAAAGATGGCGGTGTCAAAACGTGCTCGCCCACGTATTTTTTCACTTTTTACTTTTTGTTTTCACTTTAGTTCGGGGTCTAAACAATTTTATTATTTTTTGAAACTTTTTTAGTGGGTTTGGTATTATGTGAAGTACACATCTGTAAATTTTCAGGGCATTTAGCTATGCCAAAAAAAAATGAAAAATCTCCAAAGTGACGGTGTCGAAAACATGCTCGTGCACTCACTAAATTTAATTCT